AGCGTCAGGAGTTTGTCACCAGATGGTGTTTTTTGGACCACTTTGAGGGCCTAGATGAGGGTGATGGCACAGGCTAGAGGGCGGCAGACAAAAATTTTCCGTTTCAGTGCATGCAAGGCTATCGATTTAGGGGGTCAAAACATGTATCCCGAGTTTGTCACTCAAAGTCGTCTGGCTCTCGGACTATTCATCGTTTTAATCGTCGATTTATAAATTTCCGATGTACGGTTTGTTTTCCTTCTAAAATTAAATTATGTTGCATAGTGTTTTAGGGGTTCATACCTTGATCAGAGGCACATTACCACTGAAGAGTATAGAGGAGACTCAATATTGACAGTTAACATTTTAACAGCAACCATTCATTTTTTCAGTAAGGTAAAATTGATTAATTTGTTTTTTTCCCCAAAAAACTTTTGGCCGTTGAAAATATTTGACGTTGTCGTTCGACGATGAGTTATGCCCTCTAAAAAGCCAATGCACATTAATAGAATTTGATGCAAAATGTGTCTCCTCTGTTGCATGCAAACATACGGTCTTATCAATATCCACATGACAACGCGGCGTTATCGATAAACTCAAGCATGGAGCTCACTGCGGGTGTGTACATAGTACATACAAGCAGGTGAACAGCTGCAGTTAATAACGGCTCTAAATGACCTTCCTTATAAAATTCGACCCCTCATCGTGTTGAGTAGAGGCACAGTAACTCTTCACCATCGAACGATGAAAAGTCTCGAATATCGGACCCGATCGTTTCGGAGTATCATGATGTGGCGATGAGGCGAAGAATCATATTATATATCCCCAATTCTGCTAGTAAAATTGATTAATATTAATCCTTGTCGGCTTGTTGTTAATGTCTGGCCTTTTAGTTACAAAATATGTATTGAAGATCCACACGGATACGTGTGCCTCACAAATTTTCGGTTCTATTTCCACGCACTGTTCTTGAAGGCACGGACATTATCAATGGTGAAACTTCCAAACCACACTGGGCAAAACAAACCCATTGGATCTAGAGTTCAGACTCTTAAGAACATCGAAAAGAAAAAATACTCTTGATTCAATCAGATTTAAGCTTAAATCAAGAACCAAGCCTCTTAATTTGCGCGGATTTACTTTTGATTTAAGCTTAAATCTGATTGAATCAAGAGCCCATTTTCTTGTCAATGTTTTCAAGAGTCTGGACTCTAGATCCAATGTGTTTTTTTCCAGTGCATGTAATTCGTTTGCAGTATTTAACAATCGCCGCTCTTATTTTAGTTTTTTGAATGAGAACAAGTAAACATCATTCCTTGAAGTTTTTTTTTTTCAGAATTGACTTCACGCAGAGAAACAAATCACGGAAGTTTTTCAGAATTGACGTTGAGTATAGGACTTTATTTACAAAATAAAGTATAACAAGAAAGTCTACAACGTTGAAAACCGAGATACATGGTTTAGAATTTTGACCATTGATATACTTTAGAGACCCCACCCGAATAATCTAAGCAATGTAATCGAGAGTGAGGTGGAAGTTGAATTCGGAAATCAACGCTAATATTCGCCTAATGATGATTGATGAATAACTTGTTGAGCAAAAAATCAACTTTTCCTTGATGATGACCGGTGAATGTAGAGGTGAGCACTTTGCAAATACCCATAAAATTCCAATTTCCAGTATTGTTTAGTTGTTTCTTTAAATGATAAAACATCAGAGAAAATTAGGCTACGTCTGAAATTGTGATACTAATAATTGTAGTTAAATCAGTCGAAGTATACTAGATAAGAAGAGTTTTAGCGTGATTAGATCCAGCCAGTTACGAAATGCACTCACGGTAGCACAATTGCATACGGTACTAATTGAAGGCAAATTTTGGATCTTTCAGCGTACATCTCTGCTTTTCGTGCATTCATACAATAATCAATTGGGCTATGCTGGACCGCCACCAGATGAGGTCTGAACTGGAGAGAACGTCACATGTCCCATCTTTGAGATTTTACTATAAAATGATTCACAAAATGGGGAGAACGGAAACAGAACCGAATGAAACATCAGAAAGTAAAGTTTTGAATGAAATATCAAAAAGTATTTTTTGAACAGAATACATGGATATTTCTGCAATACTTTTTGCAAACGCACACTTATATATATATATCCCTATTATAGGCGTTGATTTTCCGACTTCCTGTCCTTGGATATTCTCGTGAAATTTATGAGCAAAATCATGTTGCACAGTGATACAATGCATACTTTTTCCTAGGGTATATTAGCCATAAGGAGCCACCAGTCCTGATCTATCCAAAAAACACAAGTCTGCGTACATAGAAAAAATAGTCACCTATCTTGTTTCCAAAATAATCAAAGAATGGTTTTTTCTTGAGGGGAAAACGCAGTTTAGGTAGGAAAACCAGAAAAGGATTGAACGTGAACAAGTATGCGGTAGTAAATACACATTTTATGCAATTTGAAGATCAGTGTATGAAATATTGTCTGCCGTCCCCTGATCATAAACTGATGGTGAAATCAGAATCTTTGGGTAAGTTTTTTCTTTGCCCGCCAGAAAATTTTCTTCAACAATTTTATGTAACGATATTACTAACGTGTCGATCGAAAAAATGAATGCATCAGAAACACAAAGAAAAGGGAAAGAGGAGGATGAATTCACACTGGATGAGCATATACAAGATATTTTATTAATTTTTGTCCAGACCTTACAGAAATCAATAAATAACAATTTTATTTTATCATCCTACCATTTTGATGAATTCAGAAGGGTTTGGTCTGAAATTATTAGCATCATTAATTACTAAAATTGTAAATCATACGAAAAATCCGAATAAAAAAGTACATATATTACATTGAACTCGTGCCCAAATTTTATCAGCATACCTAAAATCGGCTTGTAAATGTTTATTTCTTGCCAAAGCATAGATTTGAGCTAAAAATTTGGACAGAAAACTGCAATTTATGAATGACTAATGCAAGTAAATGAGTTAGTACAAAATTTCAGCGTGTGCTTGACTTTAACACGTACTTCTTTCGTGTAGATCAAAATCTTAGAAACCAAGAAACGACTAAACTTGATTTGAATTCATATTTTGAAAAATGTGTTTATAAATATATAAAATTATACTCAGAGGCAATTTGAACCAATCGCTTAGTATTGCGCATAAATATGTATGGCAGGTATATCAAATACAACTTAGATTCTTAGTAAATCAATTAATAAATAAGTACGCTAAACATTAAATGAAGATGGCTTGGCTGAAAAAAAGAGAAAAAAATGAAAAATGTGGCAAGAGTATTCAAAAGACTATGACTCAAAAGGATGCACCATTAAAATTAATAGAAATTATAACTTAGATCACAAACAGTTGGTAAAAACACCACAGGAAATGTGGATTGACGAACTTATCTCCTACCTAAGGACTAAAACAACAAACTTGAAGCTACACTGTACACTTATTTACAAAAAACCAAAGGGTTTTCACTGGTTTTCATTATTTTCACATTGTCAGTCCATGACGACAGAATCCTCATATATGCATATCAGAATTAGATATTTATTGCCGTCTGAAAGGATCTTCTAGAGAGACCAGACGGAAGGCCAAAGGAATCTGGCTGAAAAATCAGCTCGTAAAAAGCGGTTGAGAAATATGATAGTGAAAAATCAGATTGCGAGGTTTATATTTAAAAATGCAGAACTGTATAGTAAAAACAACCAGTGTAAAGAAAAAGAGCGATGTTCAATGGAAATGAAGCATGTATTAATGTCATACGAGTATGTTGAAACGAAATTAAAATAAGCAGTAAGCTCTGACTTCCATGCGATGAAAAAAAAACTCTCGGTATTTTAGATATACCTCGTTCAATTGATTTAATTCTGGGACCAAATCAATGATGAGTTGTTAGCATTAAATGCCAGAATATATCAAAATGATATGTCTCTCTTCTAGATCCTCGCGCACAGAGAATTTCTGAATGTACAAAGTCGTTTCAGATCTAGGGGTCAGTTCGTTACTTCGATCGTTTCAAATTATCAACCAAAACTGGAGATAAAAATATTGATTGTTTGGTACAATCGTACAACTTTTCTCATCCAGACAAAGTTGATAGTTGTAAGATTAAATATAAAACTCAGAACAAACGCTCTACCGAAGGAAATAGTCCTGGCGGCACTCATTAATCTACGTATGACATGACAGTAGATGGACTTCAGAACTTGTAAATGTAACAGGAATATCAAAGAGTCGATACAGTATCCAATTTGAAGTGACTCAATTTGTTTGGAAAAACGAGCAATTTTCAGTCTAACTTCTTTGAACTAACCCCGATTGACCGAATGACTAGTTGAATACATTGATCAGTAGACCAGATTGTAAAAAAACATGCTGGAGATTTCTTGATTTCGTGGAGGAAATTTTGGAAACAACGGAAATTTCAAAAATTTAATTTTGCGGGAAAAAACTTGACAACTGGTGACGCTTACCAACTTTGAAATTGCATGAAGGGGCTTTTCCATTAAATATTTTAAAATATTTACACAGTAAGGAGAACAAATTTAATCGTGCTTGAATCGATCATAATTAATATCTTTAAATATCTTGAAAATACCTTGTTTAGGCAAAATGTTTGATCATTCCGTTTAAAGAATATCACACACAATTTAGCACCACAAACCCTCATAAATTAAAGCATCTATTGTAAAGGACATTCTAATAGTACATCGAGGAGTTTATGTTAAAATTTCCGTTGGACCTTTCGTTTCCCATGCAAAATTTTGAATAATAAAACTTCATTTTTTTCCGTTACACCATTCATAGTTTAAACTTGCCAAAAACGCGGCGTTCCGTTAAAAGCGGTGGTTTGTGGATATCAACTTGAAGATATAATTAGATCCATTTCCGTATAAAAAACTAATAAATACGGTTGAGCTGCGGGGATTTTGGTTGATCATTTCAGCGCAAACTTAGCCTCGGCTTTCTTGGCAATCCTCGTCCTTGAGATGAGGTAGGCGCACACAAGTCCACTGAGGAACGCCGTAGTTAGGAACAGCCACTTGAGCAAAAACTCGATATCGGCGAATACTACTTGAGCGTCGTACATCGTCTTGAAGTTCACCTTCGGTAGGTTATCTCCGGTCTGAAATTACCAAAATAGAAATTAAAATCGGGTAAAATCATAGAGTACATGGAATCGTCATGTAAATGGGAGAGCTGGCGCCATGTTTCGCTCGACGAGCTCCGAGCCCGGTCATTTTTCCGACCAGGGCCGAATTAAGGGGGTAGCCACGTGGGTCGCGGCTCATGGCGGCACATTTAGGGGGCGGAAAATTTTGCAATTTTTTTAAATGTAGCTATAAAGAAAAATCGGATTCAGAAAAAAAAAAAAAAATTACGAACGAGAAAAGGTGGCAAAATCTCTCATTTCCTGAGAGTATATCTTTAATTTTGTCGTCCTGTGATACAGTAGACAGTACCTTTAAGTAGCCGAGTTAAGACTAAGAGAGAAACCGAACATGGAATTTGGCCTGGAACGGCGCGGCGCAGAGAGCAATGATGACGAGAACGTGAGTTGAAAAGGAGAAATCCTCGGCGCGGCGGTCGGCATGTAACACATATTAGCGCCTACAAGACTGCATGAATACTTCACGCATTGCGTCAAACACAGTGCGTGCAGCAGCGATCGGCCCGAAACGCATAGCGCATGTAAGACTGTAGGAATACTTCACACAGTGCGGTCAGCGCGGCGCGGCGGCGGAAGTTAAAATTATTAAACAACATTTATGTTTGTTCTTTTATAATTTTGTGGTGAATTTCTTATATAATGAGGACAGAACTTAACTTTCGCACCAAGTTCCGTGAACTTTTGCTAGTAGTGTTGACAGGGCTTTTGCAAAAAATGTGACCAACACGAGTAAACGCGTCTTATACGCCCCTCCTCCTCCGGCACGTTCACTTAATGGTTTTTATTGATGTTTCAAAACGAATGAGAAGGGGGCGGCAAAATACAGGCGGGTCATGGGCGGCAAGTAAGTAAATCCGGCTCTGTTTCCGACCGACACATGTTTGATTCAAAATGGCGTTGTGGAATACGTGGTAATTCCTATCATCTTGGTTTACATCGGACGGACGGGTACCCGTCTATCGAAAACAATCGATCATGTATCGAAAAAGTGACCCGGCGTCACACAGGAGTCCCGGAGTTAGGAACCTGGAAAATACTTAAAAGTAGCGCCAAAAGCTATAGATGAAGAAGAAAGAAAGGATACGGAGAGAGCCTATTGATAGAGGAAGGTGGTTGCAGTGGACGAAGGAGGTAAGTAATTTACTAACAAACGGCAACCCATGAGAGACCCAACAATTAGTCCATCACTCTCTCCCGTAGTCCATAAGGACTACCCACTTCAACCAACAAGATCGCTCCACACTCCCTATGTCTTCTTTGTCTATAGCTTTGCCTATCAATTTCAACAATCAGCCCGCAGGTGAAGACCATTTATTGTGGGCATCATTTAAATGCTTGGAATCGTTGAGTATTACCAAGTCCACCGAGTCACAAATTTAGTTGTAGCATTGCATTTCTAGCTTTCGTTTTTAGCGTATCAACCCATTTTGTTGCATCGTCTTTCTTTTGGCATATGTTGATTAAAATCAAATAAAACAAGAGGTTGGACCCAACGTTTGGATGGTGAATAGCGTTCACTGCACGAACATGTTTAATTATTAATACTAGGAAATAATTGAATTAGTGTTTAAGATATGGTAACATCACTACATGTTGGCAGTGCAGAACGGAATGAATCACTGAAAGGCACACAACTTTAACTTAGAGCTAATAATACCAGCTGTTTGGGCGTAACATTCTATCATGGAGTAATGTAGGGTTCATGTTAAATAGTGAAAGGTTACTTCGTACTCAAAAAGCTTCGAGCAAAAAATGTTTAAACGAGAACTGGAATGTAACTTAAAAACGTTAATAAGTTGAACAGTTTCTCAATAATAAAAATATAAAATATTTTATCCCCGAAAAAAATGGTGGAAATCCACATAAAGCAAAAAGCAAAGCGGGGATGCTAACATTGTAGTACGTTACAATGTTACCACATAGATTCGAAAAAATCGCCGGAAAAAGCGTTCACTACGCGAGGCGTGAGGCGTGATAAACGCTCAAAATTTGTGCCAAATGCTTTTTTCTGCAACTAGAAAGGTAGCTTTGCGACATTTCAAGTTCTTAACTGTATCCAGTCAATTAACACTTAACTACTTGCTCAAACTAGAGTGCCAAATACTGAACGAAGACTCCACCTCTTTTAATTGTAATACATTGTCAAACAAATCGTACAATTTGACCTGAAGAATTACATGGAATCTTTCAACAACTTTAAATAAATACTTGAAGTAATGTATGGTAGCTACTTACTCTTTGGAAATAGTACATAGGTAACATCCTGTCATTTCCCCAGTTCGGCAGGACATTAGCAAACTGTCTAACTTTTCCCACTCGCAGGTTAATCTGACCATTTTGCATGTACCGCACCGTGATGCCCAGATTCTGAAAGGGAAATCGATGATGAAAAAATAAATCATTTTGATAATTTCAGAAACTTACTTTCAATTTGATTTCTCAATCAGGATTTACTATTTCTGATTCATTTTAAAAATGACGTATGTGCTATTGGTTTCTTATTGCATGTATGTGATTTGATGTATGAGTTAGAAAGTGTCGCTCTTCAGTACTAATTGCATGCCAATATTTCCAATTCTGAAGGAGACTTAAACGCGTGAATAGGAAAAGAAACTGTTTTATCAAAAAAATTATACTATCGGTGGCGTGGCGTGCTTTGCAAAATAATGATTTATCAACCATTTAAAACTATGGAAAATGACCGATAAAGAGGGTGTCTTAACGAAAACTTTAATAATCGATTGTTTACTACAGCGCCAAATGAGGAAATATTGATAATCAGCCATTCACGCCGCGCCACAGAATGTTCCCATCATGTATATTTCACCTGGGTGAACTTTAAGGCCCAAATTAGGGGAAGAAATTATGCTTCTTGATTGAAGAGCCCACTTTATTCATATTTTTTTGTTTTGTTAAAAAAATCACACAGTGATGTCGCAAAAATAATTCATGGAAATGATTAAAACGAAGAAGCATCGTAAAAGATATTACGCAGTTAGTTTTATCATTAAAATGAAATTTGCATTACTGCGACCAAAATGTATCTTTATTTGAAGCGCTGCAAAACAAAGCTTACAAAAAATTGGGATGTTTAAAGCATTACAACTCAATTAGGGCCCTAATCAAAACCAGATGTCTTCGAGAGGAAAACTAAACTGAAGGGAAAAACCAAGAATTAATTAGTCATCATCCGCTGTCAATACGAAACTGAGACATAACGGTTGAGTTGAACCTGCATGAATATATCTTGGTTTGCAAAGTTGCAGGCTCCCTACCATCCATTATTATTTAAATGGGAAAAAAACTAAATGTGATTTCTTGAAAACTTCCATGATTTTTTTTCTCTGTGTGAAAAGTACTCCATGAAAATTTCAAATGGGAGCGTCGTGCAGCCAAGGTGAGCTGTCACATATGAATTTTTCTCCTAAAACTGCAAATTTTATGTTTATTTAGTCAAATTTCAAACTTTAAGGAGTGTTTCAAGTAGAAAATTTGACGATGAACCCAATGGAGCCTTTTTTAAAACATCCAATTTAATTTTGATGAAGACCTACGCTTTTAATTTTTTTAAATCATATCCGACCTCTTCCAGTAACTCGATCTACTGTGCGTCGGCTTGTTCTCCTATGATAAAATAAAATGAGCGCGGAGGGTTTGAAACATCACAAACGACGCACGAATCACTGCAATTTCATCGTCAGTGTTTCACAGAAGTAACCGTTGCGCAATAAAAGCTCTTGATGCGGGCTCATCTTACCTTCTTTTTCACTGGAAAAAACACATTGGATCTAGAGTCGAGACTCTTGAAAACATTGACAAGAAAAAGGACTCTTATGATTCGATCAGAATCTAGCTTAAATCAATAGGAAATCCGCTCAAATTAAAAGAGGCTTGGCTCTTGATTTAAGCAAAAATCCGATTGAGTCAAGAGTACTTCTTCTTGTCGATGTTTTTAAGAGTCTGGACTCTAGATCCAATCTGTTTTTTACTCCAGTGTTCTCTTTTTCGTTTAATTTTCTGTTTCGCCACTTGAGAAAAAATCGGGATACTTCGAGACGCCCCAGTTTTTCTCTATAATTTTTTATTAGCAGCCTTTTCCCCGGATTAGGATTTTTTTAATCATAAGGGATTTCACTGGAAATGTACAAATAAGCAAGACCTATGTACCACATGGACGTAATTTTGCTAGAAAAAAACTATAATGTACGAATCCAGAAAATTGGCAACACTGTTTTTCCTCATTTAAGCCTGTGGGAATGTATCGATTCTTGGAGGGATCAGATGCTCCGACAAGAATCGATTATTTAACATAGGTTTAAATGGAGGAAATCCGGTGTTGCCAAATCGCTGGATCCGCCTCCGGTTGAATCTATATCGAATGACCTATTGATCGATAAATAGCATTGTCAAGATAGGGTCGAGATCGATCCAGATCTTCGATAACGATTCAACAATCGCCCCACACTGCTAGACGTACTTCTTTTAAAGTATCTTACCGGTAAAACATCGAAGTAAGTATCAAAGTCGTGGGGGTCGGTAACGTTCATCTCATAACCTTCCAAGTGAGTTAGCAAAGATTTTGGGTACAGGTTTATGTTTGGCGACGTCAACAGCAGAGGAATGCCTGGAAAAAGAATTAGGTGCATTCAAAGTTTTATTGAGCGAGAATTGGATGTAAAGCACCTTTAAGATTAGACGCGAAGATTTGGACGTGACGTCATAGCCACGGTGCTTGATTTTGTGAGCACAGAAATCTATACTACTAGCTCTCAAGTCTCCTACTTTTTAATTTCTGGTAACGCTTGGTCCTGGCGTATAACATGCTACTTACTGGAAAAAAAAAAAACATTGGATCTAGAGTCCAGACTCTTAAAAACATCGACAAGAAAAAATACTCTTGATTCAATCGGATTTAAGCTTAAATCAAGAACCAAGCCTCTTAATTTGAGCGGATTTCCTTTTGATTTAAGCGTTAAACTGATTGAATTAAGAGTATTTTTTCCTGTCAATGTTTTCAAGAGTCTGGACTCTAGATCCAATGTGTTTTTTTCCAGTACACGTTACAACCAGAGGTGATCTTCATGTAAAATTTGAAATGCGTAAATTTCCGTCTTCGAAATGTCGTGAACAATTTGAAATTAGTGAACTGTCGCCCCAGAAATCACACGAATTTCCATTGAACATCAGAGTTTCTGAAATTTTATCCTTAATTTTCGTAAACAATAAATTGCATCAATCGTCTTTGGTTACAACTTGTCCATTAAACCAGATTCAATTTTTGGGCCAAAAAATGAAGTTAATTTTTCGGACAAAAACCTTTGGACAGATTCAACTGGCCGTATCAGCTATGGGCAAATTTTAATATCAGACGAAAAAAGTGGACGAATTGTCCTATAACCTAAAACTGTCCATTCAGTTTTCTAATATCGGGCGAAAATCCTTACCTAAACACGGTTTGAGATCAAATGGGGCCAAGCCTTCTGTGGTGTTGTAACAGTATCCCTTCTTGCGACAGTAGCAGGCGTTTTCAGGATTCCTTGCTGGGGCTGCAAGGGTCTTCTCTTCCATGACGTATCTCGGCACCATTAAACCTTCTTGAAGCTGGAGCAGAAACAAACGACAACATGCATTTCAAAACTATTGCTAATCTCATTTCACCACAATGATAAAAGGTACAAACATTTTAAGTAAAGTAGTACCTATGATAAAATGATTAGAAAATGAAGAAGAATCTTGGGACCAAAAATTTTCTTAGTACCGATATTCTTCTTCCTTTTCTGATAAAAGGTACACATCTTAACGTGAAGATAATGTCTCATGAGATGAATTTCCAGTTAAACATTAAACTTTATACGGTCGTTAATGTAAATCAAATTGATTTACAATATTCGATAGGGTTAAGCAAAGTATGCTTGAAGGTGAAAAGAGATGAAGTAACGGTCCCTTAGCATGAAGGGAATAATCCTGCATTAAAATTTGACGCAAAAAACACTCAAACGTCTTAAAACAATTGACGCTTTGGTAGCAAATCAAAGTTTGTAGACAGGAAATAAAGAATCTGTAGAAAATGCTGTCAAGGTTTGCCGGCAGTGTTACCACCTACCATAACAATTCAGTTTAAAAGTAGTTGCCATGAGTGGACACATACGAACTAATGGACGCATCATTATAATGTATCAATTAATGAAGCCCGCAAAATTTTAGACTGAATGATCTCTCTTCACCTTTTTGTTTCGTCCATCTTGAAGTCTCGTATTTGCACAATTTCAAAAATGTGTATTGTACGTCGATAGCAGAATTTTTTTTGGCGTGGAAAACACGGAAAACTTCATTCAAACATTCCTGATTAGATATGTAATTAACTTAAAGTGATGTTTTGTATGCTTCTTTAGTTGGAAATTCGTAGCCAAAGTTATCGCGAAATTTCAAAAACCACACCCTGACCTTTATATTAAAAGAACAGCCTTGTCATCAGCTGCGCTTTTAGGCGTTGCGCACACACGTGGGCTCAAAGTGTTGCTAATTTGCATACTCAATGAGATGAAGATATTTTTAGTTTATTTATTGATCAGGCTAAATTAGTTCTGCACCTCTCAATGCTAATTTAAATCATAACAATCGAACTGCAGAGGCTTGTAGATTCAAATTTGCATTCTCAGAGGAACAACGTGTGATCTCGATCTCAAGAGTTTTCGCACATTATCGTATCTGCTCATTATTGTTGTGCATAGTATCAGTACATGCTTTAATCTTTCAGTACGCACAGTCTTATGCGTTGATGAAAAAAATCGACAAAATTTCAAGAGTCTTAAGTATCAAAGTCATATTTTTGTCAGAGAATCTGATTTTTTTTAAATTTAATTTCGTAATCTTGGACTGAAGTTTCCTTTTTCCGGAGAGGACACAATTGAGATAACGTATCATACTGGACTGCATTTTGCGATTGAATCGGTTTTTGTTAAACGAGCGTAAATAATTCCAAAAACTCATGAGCCCTGGATTTTGTTGATCATGTAGGACGATAAGGCTCGTCCGTTTTTGGATTTATGCACGTCTGATAGAAACCGATTCGATTGGGAACTAAAATGTATCGCTGACTTTTGAAAAAAAAGGTATTATCCATTAGTTTCCATATGTAGGTATGTAGTAGATATATCGATAAGTTTAACAATAACAGAATTAAAATTTCAGTCCACACAATTTCCACTGAGCGCTACTTGAATTGCCAGGAATTCGACACTAATTTAATCGAAAAACTAAAGCCCGGAATGTTTAATCTCTGGCAATCACTTGGAAACTTTTCCATTGCCCTTGTACCTAGTGTCTATTCTCTTTGAAATCTGTATTCTCATTTGAGTTCTTCACACAGTGGAGCGATGCATTCGGAGAGATTGAACATGCTTTAAAATCAGAATTTAAAAGCTCATATTTTTGTCAATAAATAACTTAGAAAATTAAGTGGTTTGATTGGTGTCCACGCAAATTTTCCCCAAGAGACTCCCTTCTTTATTGGCAGTATAAACATACAAACTTGAAGTTCTAGTCAAAAATTTCGTGTCCGACCCGTACCATTAGATCACTCAAAGATGCAAATCCGGGGGGGGGGGGGAGCCTCCCTCGCTCGCCCCAAAAAAGGCAGAAGGAAAAAGAGAACAGAGAAAGAAGAAGAGAACCGGGGAAAGAAGGAGGAAAAACGCTTAGATTCGATAATTATTCATGACGAATTTGACTCAAACTGCTCGGGAAGCTTTAAAATTTTGAAATTTTTCTGAAGGAGCCAACCCCCCCCCCCTCCTGTTCGAAGCGTCAGGATCCGCCTATGAAATCACTCCACTGTGCGCCATCTATCGCCTGTACCGTCTATCTATGACTAACCGTCGGACAGAAAAGGAGAACAAACCGCACAAAAGAAAACATAAAAAATAAGTCGGCCTTGAAAGTGATCCGCAAATAAATGAATAAAAACTCACAAAGACCGTCATGAATTTATTCATCGGGTTATTGGCGTCGTTTTTTCCATTTTCCGCATTTCTAATTGGGGGATTTGTTACTGTAATTTGCGCTCCGGATTCTGTTGCCACTTCGTTCGGAGTGTTAGATACCTTTTGCGGTTTCTCGCGAATGCTTTGCGCCTCGTCTATCTTGCTAACTGCGGCATTCTCCGTTTTTGTTCGCTGATTTTTTTAAGATCTCAACCGCTGATATGCATTTTTATCCTCCAACCTGCCATACTAAATGGACCGCGCTAGCAGAAAGGTTACTACGTGCAGGGTTCCTCATGGGGTATAATATGGTCAATATAGGTAGAACACCGCACTGTGGGCTGATTATTGAAATTGTTAGACGAAGCCATAGACATAAAAAGGGGCGCAAGAGGGTAAAGGGGCGATCCTATTGATGGAGTCAGGCTGGCAGGTGCTAACTGGTGGCCATCGACAAGAGACCTCACAGTTTGGCTCCGTTAAGCAGCAAGGCACCAAGGCACATCAGCTACTGCCAAATTAAAGTGGGTGATTTAATTTTTTTTCACGTGAAAACGTTTGTACGGATTTTGGTGCAAATTTCAGTGCACTTTCTATATATTACGAGGCAAATTCCCTAAAATTTAAGAAAAGTCATATTTGTTTTCGTCGAACACTGGAAAAAAACACATTGGATCTAGAATCCAGACTCTTAAAAACACCGACAAGAAAAAATACTCTTGATTCAATCGGATTTTTGCTTAAATCAAGAACCAAGCCTCTTAATTTGAGCGGATTTTCTTTTGATTTAAGCTAAAATCTGATTGAATCAAGAGTATTTTTTCTTGTCGATGTTTTCAAGAGTCTGGACTCTCGATCCAATGTTTTTTTTTTTCCAGTGAAGACTGCAGAGTTGTTGAAAATTTTGCGCTTCAGCTCTAGCGGCGAAAGCCACAAGTTAAGTTCTAGTCGGAAGGGTCCGGAGGAGCGTACATACCTTGGGTTTATGAGCCTTTTTCAGCAATGTTTGCAAAAAAAAAAAATCATTTAAGGAACGGCGACAATACATCGACTTAAAAATTTCTAGTAACACGATCTCTTTTCCAGAGGAGGGGTATAATGAACAAAACGTAAACTAACCTCGACTTCTTTGAGCTTGGTGAGTTTGATAGAACGACACAAGAGAACGAAGTAGAAGTAGATGGGGTTCCCGGCTCTGACGTCATTCGGTGGGAAGTAGATACCGTCACTGCCCTTGAGGGTGTTGCAGTCCTTGGATTCCCAGAGTCGCAACCTGGGTTGCCCGTTGATCTGAGTCAACTTCCCGATCCGTTGCGTGTTGCGATGACCCGTTTCAGCGGTCATTCTCACTTTCAGGAAACCTGCCATCTAAACAAAAAAAGAACCGATTTAAGCGAAACGTTCCAACGCTGTTTCGCGTGGTTCCCTCCAAATAATTTTGATGATCTGTACGGGAAAAACGGTCTCCTGGATCTAAAGGCCAGACTCTGAAAAAAAAATTAAATGGAAAAATACTCTCGATTCAATCGGAGTTTTGCTTGAATCGAGAGCCAAGACTCTATATATGCGGATTTTCTTTTAATTCAAGCAAAAATCCGATTAAAATGAAGAGAAATTTTTCTTCTCAGAATGCGATGACCCTTAGTTAAAATCGAGTTATGTGTTTGTGGAACTGCGATCTCAAAATTTGAAGCAAATGACAAGTAGCTGAAATTATGGAGCTAATGTGTGCGGTATATCGCACGTCGCTTTGACACAAAAATTGGCCTCCATCGAATCACCTTAATATTGCTTTTTGTAAGTTCCAAAAGTACCTTCCAATTTTGAGGGCCTGCAACCTGCACACTAAGATACATGTTGCCTGACTTTTTCACAAATCATGAAATAAATAACCTACCCAGGGGACGACTCCTGATTGGTTGAAGGGCAGCGTGATTCCCAGCGGGGCCGCAGCTGTGGTGACGGCGTTATGTATGTCGTCGTCCCAACCCATGACGTAGTCGCTAATGTTCATCGTCAGGAACGGAGTCAGGTTTGAACTGTTCTTCGGGATGAACGAGAGCAACAAATTCTGGAAAGTCGGCATGAAGTCCGTGCTGAGGGTGATCGTCGACTGTCAACAAAACCAATACGATTGATCAATTCCTCTTGTCACGAAAATGACATGAAATGAAACAGGTCAATTTTGGAACCTTGGAATGGAGTTACGTTCCTTTGTGTGGGAAACGACGAATTTTAGGCAGGATTTAAGATGAGGTACGTGGTTTTTCAGCAATTTTGGGGGAATTTTTGGGGGAATTTGGGGTATTTTTGGGGGAATTTGGGGTATTTTTGGGGGAATTTTTGGCTCTGAAAGGAGACGTTTTTGAAAAAATGGACACTTTAGAAGAGTCATAGTTGTAACTAAAGAATAGAGCTGCAAATTGTTTTCCGCCACCCCTGGAACACTCTCTGTGTATTAGAAATCTTTCCGACTCCCGCAAACTAAAAATTATTCAATAATACGGTCTGCAACAAGGTACCCAGATAATAATATTTTTTATGAATTAAACTCAATTTGATTGAATTAAAAATCGTATTTTATTTGAAGTAACTTAAATTTAATCGTATTCAGTTTGAAGTAACTTACATTTAATCGAAAAAGCATAGCATTATATTAAATTAAAACAAGGAAAAGTTAAAAATACTCAAGTGCACGTCAAGTTCTTTAAATTTGGACACGTTTCATCTGTGCAGGACGGACGAAACGCGTCCGATTTTAAGATCTTGACGTGCACGTAAGTGTTTTTTCCTTTTTGGAATTTTGACATAGCTCGTGTGCGGGGTTTGATTGAAATTGAATTGAATTTAATAGCATTAAATTAAAATTAAATTGAAGCTTACCAGGAAGGCAACGTTGGGTATAGTGACGGTATCACTCAAGTTAACTTTCGTCTCCTCCGGCCACAGTTTAAGCGTCCTGGAGTCATCATAGTCTACCAGGCCACCACTTTTAAACACGATGTTCTCTTTCAACGGCTGCTCCCTATTGAATTAACAATAAAAATTATCTGGTTAATATTTTCTTCGTAGAGAAAATATCTAATGTAAAAACTTAGAAAGAAGACAATAGATCGTATTCGATAATGGTTCGATGTGTTTTGTTCAAAACAATAGAACATACCTAACCTCAAACCAAAATTGTAGGATATTTGACAGAGAAGCTGAAAATGAGAAATTTCGTGGCAACTTCACTACTCTTGGCCAATAATCACTCATACGAATCAAAAATCTACCTCAAAAAACCCGTTCCGTCGGATTTCTCAATTGACTTTTGGGACTATGTTTATGTTTTGAACCAATCGATATCGATACAATCTCACCCGTTTGATGTATCGAATATGATCCATTGAAGCTTCCGAATTAGATGAACGCTGACGAAAAACAAGCGGGAAAGCTCTATTACGCTCGTAGTGGAGAGGCGCTCAGCTGTTTTCCATGTAGGTGCCTTTTTAGGTTCCCCGAAAAGGATGAGCAATGCTGAGTGAAAGCACTCGCATCACTCACATTTCAACTTTCGGTTTTGAAAAAACTACACTACTTACCGCTAAAAAAATAAATTATCAAAAACTGATTATCGTCCTCTGTGCTTTGACATCAGATGCATTCAAGAATGGAATCACGATTGTTCTGTTGAAAAATGCCTCTTGGAAGGTATTCAAACTTGAATATTTTCAGAATTTTTCTATTTGAAAGTTAAAAGCTCTTTAATTTGTATTTTTTGTTAAATTGCTTGTTCATCATGGTCCGATTGTTTTTTTTTTTTAAAAAAAAAGTCCTGGCAAAAGAGTAAGTCAAAAAATAATCATGACATTCGACAGAGAGATAAATCCCCCTACTTTTTGATTTTTTTCTTTTTTTTTTTTAGTCAAATCCTTAGGGAAAGACCTTAATGGACAGATAATTTACCTGAAGCAGATGGGTCCAACCCTTTCGATTTTGAGCGTCGGGTGTTGTTTGGCCATGAACTCAGGGACGTTTGTGTAGTTGAAAAGGGTGATGCAGTTTTTGGTGGTGAGCGGGGTGGCGACCCAGTTGGGGTACATCTGATTGCTTGTGTCGATCGTGACCCTCAGTCGGATCAAATACCAGTACAGACTCGTGAACCACACCACGCAGCATAACGCCAGACTCAAGGTGAACACCGTCCCAGCAGTAATTTTCACACATTTATCTAGAAACACGCAAAAAAGATAGTTTCATGAGAAGATTGGAAGCATCAACAACAATGGGTGGCCACATGGGCCACATGGCGGCAAATCTAAGGGGTGGCAAAAATTTGCAATTTTTTTAAGTGTAGGTATAAAAAAATCGAATTTAGAAAAAAAATTCAAACGACAAAAGGCGACAAAATCTCTCATTTACTGAGAGTTTGTTTGTTGTTGTTTTCCCCGCGAAATGGTGTGGACCCAGCACCATTTCTCCACCTTGTTACATGCAGTTCGATCCACTTCTTAGTGTTTTTTTTCTTCATTTACTGAGAGTATAGCAATTTCTAATTTTGTCGTCTCTTACGGATACGAGAGACAGTACCTTCAATTAGTCGAGTTAAGGGAGAAACCAAACACGCAATTTGGCCCGTAACAACGCGACTTAGAGAGAAATGATGACGAGGACTTGAGATGAAAAGGAAAAGCCCTCGGCGCGGTGATCGGCATGTAACACATTGGCGCCTACAAGACTTCACGAATACTTCTTGCATTGCATCAAACACAGTGCGGTCATTGCGGTCAGCGTGAAACGGATAGCGCCTAAAAGAATGCTTGAATACTTCACGCATTGCGCCAAACACAGTGCGGTGAGCGTGAAACGCATAGCGCCTACAAGACTGTATGAATACTTCACGCTTTGCGCCAAACATGGAAGGCCTTGTCCACACAGAGATAGGCTTACGAAACTTAACTTTCGTGCAAAGTTCCGTGAACTTTTGCTGGTAGTGTTGACAGGGCTTTCCCAAAAAATGTGTTCAACACGAGTAAATGCGTCTTATGCACCCCTCCCCCGCTGGCACGTTCACTTGATGGTTTTTATCGAGTTTCAAAACGAATGAGAAGGGGCGGCAAAATACAGGCGGCCCATGGGCGGCAAGTAGGATCCGGCCCTGGAACTATGTACAACAAATATTTTAAAAAAAGAAACTTTACCGTCAAGTGACGTCATCAGGCAGCATTTCCAATTTAGTTACATGTATTTTAGTAGAAATTTGGTAATATCTTTTTCAATTACTGTTCAATAATCAAGAAATCAAGAATAATCTCGTGGTTACTCCACTTTGCAGTTCCCAACTACGCATAAAATTCATCAAATCTTAGTCACCTGTGAATTCTTTATTATCTAATATAAACTCAATCCGAAATGGAAAATTTGCAACCTTGAAATTTAGGTACGTTCCTCCATCCGGAACGATGAAACAGCGATGCATCTAAACATTAGAAGACCGACGATTTGTCTCTTCGGCCACCGAATCTTCCACCCTTCCCGCGTTTTTACAGTTTGTTATGACTTCACCATCCGCATCGCGGACGGGGAGCTTTGAGCCGTAGGGGGGCACTAGGAGGCACCTCGCCGGAAGGGATTAATGGGGACGCGGTATGAGGATATCCACGACAGAGCTTTATCCCCGCACTCAGATCCGTGTCGGTCGTGCTTTGCGATGTATCGATTGATCTGTCATTTGGAGCTATGAAAAAGGATCGATTATCAGGGTTTACCTTAATGATCGATTCCTTAGCATAGCTTCAAATGGGGAAATTTCGATAGGTGATGATTCGGGGCCAGGTGAGATCCGGTCGATCCCGGGGAGGAACCGAAAGGGACGGATTCCCGGCTCGGACTCGGATAGTGGAGCGTGGACTCGGGATAAAAATAATTATTAAAAATAATTTAATCGGGAGGATTAAATTGGTTCGGGTTCGCTTTGATTCCTTCCAATCGGGGAATTACTCTAAATATGCGGATTAAGCCTTTCATCCCGCTCCTGCGTGCTGCGTTGCCACGTGTGACGGTATTTTTGAAATTTCCGCGGCGTAGTTTTTGACAACGATTGGTCGAAGTAGGGTACCTTTATTGGGAGAGCACAGGCCTGTCGGTAATGGACCAATAGACAAGGTACGAATTTCAGCATTCTGATACATGCTTCGTGACTAAAATTTCATGTAGAACACGATGCGCACATTAAAAATTACCGCAATTAACTCCTTGCGAAGATATTAATGATTCTTGGTGCGTGAATTCAAATCACCCGCTCATGAAAACTCAATGCTCTACGTGATTCACATCGCGCGCTAAACGTTATCATGACGCAGTCTCTGCGATATAAAAATCTGGCAACCTCAATCTTGACGCTTTGGCTCAGCTATAGCAAATTGCTTAGAGTTTGAACAACACATGGTAGGAGCTGAACATTGCTCGATTGAGAAGATTGCTGAAACCGTTGTAGTGCGCGATTTGACTCACGTAGAGCTTTGAGTTCCTTGAGAGCGGGCAGTTCAAATTCCTCGTAACCAATGTGAAATAAAAATTTTAATAGCTTCGTTAGGAGTTGGTTTCAGTAATTTTCGTTGCGCGAATCGTGTTCTACGTGAAATTCTGGTTAAACTACATGTATCAGAATGCTTAAATTCGTACCTTGTCTAGTGGCCCATTCTGAGGTTCGAATTATTATCCAGAGTGATTTATCATAACAAATTATTACAGATATTTTCAAGTTGAAATAACCAATGAAACAACTTACAGAAATTTAAAAAAAAAAAACTCACTTGAGACGATTTTTAATTACGTAATTAACATTTTTTAATGACGTGATTAAAAATCGTTGCAAGTGACATCTTCAAAAATAAATTAATCGTCTTATTGATTATTTACACAATTTTTACGACCCGCCGTTTGTTAAGCATCTATTCGACTTAGCTTTTGCATAAATTTACTCATTTTTGCCGGAAAATGCTCATTTATGAAAATTTTCGGTTATCTCGGTTTGATCTTGGAATCTAAAGATTGGCAAAGGCATTTTTTTGTGGTAGAAAGTTGGCTGCCCTTGTAGGCCCTAAGAGCTCAATATTTTTGAAATGTCCGTACTCTTACTGTATAGGCACTCGAGGTCAAAATGTTGATGAAAAACATCCTCTACACATATATGTCCAAAAAACAAATAGAAAAATGGGCGAAAGGGTTCATTTTGAGAATTCGTAAACAAAAATTGGATGAACGGAGTTTCATTTCTTTATTTTTATTTATTGTTTTTTTTTTTTTGAAAAAAAAAAAAAAAAGCTTGTCTCATTTCACTGTTTTGCCGTTTCTTTCGGGAAGTTCCTGATGAAATATTTATTTCCGAGGGCATACTAAATTTGACCATAATTTTTATGACCAAGACCATTCATTTCAGTAACGATCAGAACGTTGAATTCGGTAAGGGATAACTATAAATATTTCTTAGTAGGATAATTAGGTGAAAAAATCATCAACATTATCTCTCTGAGCTGGATTTCAAAGAAAGAGCAGGGTACTTTTCGAGACTAAAAAATCAGTTATTTCACTGTAGAGGAGAGCACCAAATCAAGACAAAACTCCATCCAACTCAGAAATACGCTTTGAATCAATAGTTAAATTTACAATTAGCAGTTTTCGACTATAGTAGCAAGGTAAAATATTGACCTCGAAGAAAAATTTTTCGATAGAGCTATAACGAATTTAAACGACATAATATGGCAAACTTGAAAGGTAGGTGAGGGACATCCGGCCACATTTCCCACTCCTTGCGCCCTGAGCTGGCTCAGAAAGAAAAAAGGGGGAAAAATCTCTCCCGAGGCATAAAAAGTCGGTTGAATACGACAGAAGACTCGTATAATCAATTTCGCGCCCTTGCCAAACTGTTTAGCGGGCTGATTATTGAAATTGATAGACAAATAATACAACGGGTGCAGGGAGCGATCCCATTGGTTAAAACAGGAGGTTGTTATAGACCAAAGGAGAAATATGGACTAACTATAGGGTCTCTCGTGACTTGCCGTTAGTAGGTCCATTACCTGCCTCCTTTGTTCATTACAAACACCCGTTTGCACCAATAGGATCCCTCCATTTTCTTTTGATCTCATTTGTCTATTGTTTTGTCTATCAATTTCAATAATCAGCCCGCAGGCCTGTAATTCGGCGATAATACGTATATAGCCATCCGCGAAGAAAGGCACCATAATCAGAACCGAATTCACATGACACTCATTTTGCCTATTCCACTTTTTCCGGGCGTTTTGTTTTCCTGTCGCAGCTGTAATTCTACGCAGCCAATCCGGTGTGGGTTAGATTGGAGAGTCCACGACTGATGAGATTACTCTTGTTCGACTGAATTTAATGAACTCTATTACGAGAAACAGGTCAATGTTATAATAAACGCATATTTAATTTGTGCATATGTGAGAAATAGATGTTACTTAGGAGTTTTTAACGATTTGAAACTTAGAAATTATGTTGATTCTCAAAGCTGAGGGTTACTTTAAAAATGGCGGTCTACATTATCTTTACATTTGTAAAAGGCTCGAATCAGAATGAATTCTAAAGGAGGGTTTATTGCTTTAAGTGTTGACCAGAGTTTAAAACTGTAAAAAAGGCAATATTGCTATAGGTCTGAGTTTTACAATCCGTCATGTTTATTTTTTACGAATCAATTATTGCTGCGCAATTATGAACAAAGCGTTTTCGGCAGAATTTTGGAATCTGAGAGTCTCTGCAAGGGTATGCATTTGGCTGGGCGTTCTTCAGATTCTCTCACCGGGCGAGTGGGTTTGCCATTTTCCGACAGTTCGACGAACATTTAATAGCCCGGTGCATTAACTCCGCTAACTTTTAATTAACTCCCCTTTTTTCAGCGGAAGAGTTCGATTAGCCGCTCTCAAAGTGTTTCCACAGTTTAGCTAATCATATTTAGCAATAGTGTATGGTCCTTTCATCCATGATTTCAGAGCACTTAAATCGCACATTGTTGTCACTCCATTGGGGGAAAATCAACAGTTTTGAATAATTGTGAATGTTCACGGGAAAAGAGACCTCAGTGCACAAAAAATTTAAAATAAGTTACTGACATCAGAGCTGAGAGGTATTTAATATTATAGTCGGTCATGTTCAGGGTACACGAAATTGCCAGATCATGATGCAACTGCATCATACTGTCATTCATCAACT